CCAAAGTTGATTCCTGGGTCTCGAAGAAAGTCTGCTCAGCAATCTAGCTCATCAGAACTTGCCCCCCAAACACCTACATTACCCGCTCCTCCGTTGATCGAATCTATACATTTCACCACGCCAATCAAGAGAATCCTGTCACCGGGTGACCATGAAAAGTTTCTCGCCTCATCATCCTACGTGCTGATACTGGCATGGATCTTTACCCTCGCTGATTGCGTTCGCGGCCGTCGAATTTCCGCGCTGGACACTCAGAATTTGTCAACCACCATCAAGAACCTCGATGCCGTGCTTGACCACCTGGAAGGAATGTTAAAACAGTATCCGCCTCTCGACACGGGATCGAGATTTGGCAATCCGGTCTTTCGCAGTTTGCACAAAGCCATTGTAAGAGATGTGGACAGAATACACAAGGACATATTGGGGCTGCACAATGAGGATGCCATCAAAGAGATATCTGTCTATCTGATCAACTCATTTGGTTCTGAGGAGCGACTTGATTATGGGTCGGGGCACGAGCTGAATTTCATGATGTGGTTACTGTGTCTATACCAGCTGAAGCAGATCGAACGAGAAGACTTTCAGGCAATCGTACTGCACACTTTCGTCCGATACCTGAACCTCATGCGAAAGATCCAGAGCACATACTACTTGGAACCTGCAGGAAGCCATGGAGTTTGGGGCCTTGACGACTATCAATTCTTGCCCTTCTTGTTTGGAGCAAGCCAGCTCGTCGGGCACCCGTATATCACGCCCAGGTCGATCCACAACAATGTTGTTCTGGACGAGGAAGGCGACGACTACATATATCTCAACCAAGTCCGATGGGTGGATAGCGTCAAGACTGTCAAGGGACTGCGCTGGCACAGCCCCATGCTAGACGATATCTCGGGGGCAAAGAGCTGGCAAAAGGTGGAAGACGGCATGAGAAAGATGTTCGTCAAGGAAGTGCTAGGCAAGTTGCCCATCATGCAGCACTTTCTATTTGGAGGCCTAATCCCGGGCACTGAGGATATGGGCCAACTGGACGAGGAGACACTGCGGGCTCAGGCGCAGAGAATGCAGCATGTGAAGGAATATGGGCACGAGCCTGACTACTGGGGCGACTGCTGTGGTATAAAGGTGCCCAGCACGGTAGCAGCAGGCGAAGAAATGAGGAAGCGCATGGGCACGTCGGGCGCACTCCGCCCAATACCTTTTGATTGAGAGGCCCGCGGGTGCATCTGCAGGGCCACGAACACGCCACTGTGTAGTGAGGGAATGGGCGAATCAAACAGTCAGAAGCTATACCGCGGCCAGGCAGCAAATGGTTGGTCCAACGGGTGATGTGGAGACACTGGGCGAGCTCTGACCGGTTACCGCCAACTCTTGATTTTCTCCCAGCGCTTCCTTTGGAACACATCCTCAGTCCTTGCTGCCCCTGGTACTATTGGCCCAAACAACGAAACCAGCTCCGACCAACACTGAAGGGAATGAGGGGTCTTGACTATCACAAGAAGAGGAGAGGGGCTGGGGAAACTTGGACATGCGGACGCCTCGCCTCATGGAGACGAGACTCTGAGAATCTGCCTGACCAGACCGTGGTACAAGGATGTGGTGATCCGCGTAGTCTTAACTTTGCCGTGGTTCACATGTGCTAGCTAATATTGTGGTGCAGTCCAGTATGCGCACAGCTTCTTCTAGGCAATGATTGACAGACGATTTGACCGGTTGCTTTTCAGCCTTGCCTGGTTCCCAAATGCCAGTCACAGCCAACGTCCCACTAGCTCATCAAAGAGACAATTGGCATCCCGACCAACGAGGCAAACCCCTCCTTGAGTTCCATTCAGTGTTGAACTGAGGTGCTCCCTCATCGTTTGACCACTTCACCTTTCGTCTTCACTCTCACTTCTTCCTTTGTAACTGTGTGAAGTGTTTGGTCAGGCCAGTGTTAAGTTTCTGCAAAGCTCCCTCGAGCACATCTCGATCCCGTTTATTCTGTCCTTACACCACGTCTGACCCTCACTGTCGGTTTGTAACCCCTCCCTCACAGCAACCCTATCGCAGAGCCCCTCCATCCCGCGGGAATCTCAACCAAGATGGGGAAGAAATCCAACAGATTCTTGAGCTTCACCACACCTCCACCGCAGTCCAGACACCCATGGGTCTATGTGAATGATCCGACAACCAACACCCCCCATGCCACCAGTCTCCAGGACTTGATTGGTGACTGTATCGTCTCCCATCACACCCGGCACGACGGTGACCTCTCCTCGACGCAAGAATCGGAGACTGAGAAGATGGCTGTCTGTCTTGATATGCTCAAAGACGACACCTTCAGCGCCGGCCAGAACGTTTTTCTCATTACGGAGCATCTCGCCGACTCTAAGACTGCTGATAAGCTCGAGACTGCCACGAAGTTCCGCGAGCAGGCTATCAAGGGTGGACGCAACTTTGCCAGCGTGAATCTTTATCTTCAGGACGGGACAAAGAAGAAGGAAAAGGCCAAATGGGGCCCGAATCATCTAGAGCTGGGTATCACAAATATGACCGTCAAGGAAGTCGCGCAAGAGATCTACCAATGGCTATGTATGGACCTCCCCGCCGCTCCCCTTGCAATCGATTTGTTTTTCGTATACTGGCCTTGAACTTACATATATCCGCGTCGCTTTCAGTCACTGTCTTGTCCCCGGCCGAGCACGTCCACCTCATCCCACGCGCCAGATTGCTCGCCGTCGATAAGCGTAATTTCGCCGACTACGCATACTGCCCAATCGCCGACACCAAGAGCCGCCCGATGGATGCCAAGATCCAGTTCGTTGTTGTCATCATTACGAAGCCCGTCGTGGTTCCGAACACCCAACGCCTCCAATGGACCGTGGCCGACAAGTCAGGCATGGTGAGTTCAACGACGCTCCAGTCACGTTTCCCAGCGGGGAACTGACCATAGCTGCTGCATAGGGAAATTTCTACTTCCAATACCGCGGTGACACCTCGCAGTACACCTGGGATTGGGTTCTTGCCCTCAAACCAGGAGACGTCAAAGCCCTCCCGCGCATGCCGATGGTTCAAGTCAAGGAATCACGTCACCTGCGGTTCGCTAAATTCCCGCTGCGTACCGCAGGTTCTGCCATGACGGGGATTGGTCTAGCGCTCAAGACCGTGGGTCACGGCGTGGCCAAGCTCGGCGACATCACGTCCATGGGTAAGTCGTCGGAATGGGTCCCTTCGTGCGACGTCGTCGTCGACGAAAAGGACGGCAAGGTCAAGAAGATCGATTGGGCGGCCAAATTTGCGCAGGAGAGCAAGGACCGCAAGGCAAAGTTTGAGGAGACGCAACGTGGACGCTGTGCCAAGTTGAAGGCCGCCATTAAAAAGCATGGTCTGCCGAAAGAAAAGGATGGGGAGAGTATGGGAGACTCGAGCACGTTGAGAGGCAGCGAGTATGAGAACGAAAAGGCCATTGTGTCAGAGAAGGAGTTTTGCTGAAGGCCTCCTGCAATAACCAAAATAGGCCCATTCGTGTGGACGCTGCCAATGGGTGAGCACATGGGAGTGTCAGAGAAAGTCAGTGTTTCTAGGTTGCTGAGGAGTTGTTTGCAGTGGAGGTTGGTTCGCCAGTCTACTGATTCTGCTTGCTCCACGCTTTGTGCTGCATGACAAACAAAGCACGAGGTCCAAATCTTACATGGACTGCAAACTCGGAGAGGAAGATCGAGCAGAGTCGTCCCGTCTGGGAAATCCGTCAGAATAATAATAAGTAATACGTTTCCGGCAAACGGGGTTTCAAACAGGCCGGCCAAGCGTCATCTACACAATAATCAAGCTGAATACCAAGTAGTTCAAGGGCGGTGGTGGCTGGTGGTAATTCGATTCCCTGCAGTACACATTAAACGAAAGTGCATTTCACTCGGGAACAGGAACCTACCACCCAAAAGCTCTTGTGAGTGAACATCTTGTTATCAAAAGGGAATTAAATACCCAGGATAGTATGGCGGGCGGATGGGCGGGTGATGCGAGATGCATTCCTGTAGGTACCTACACAGCCACCCTCCTCGCCCCTCGCTTTTGCGTTCTCGTGACAGGTTCATAGTGTTGGAATTCCTCAGCTGGCTAACGCCCCCAACCAAGGACTGGCCGATTACTTGGGTACCTACCTGGCTGGGCATCCATCGCACGAGTACTTCCAAGTCATCGGGCAGCTGAGGTCGGTGGACCACCAAGGACGCTTGGGTGGAGGACATCCATCCGCGCGCGGGTGAGACAGAGATACAGAGAGAGTGGGAGCTAAGATGTCAGTTCCTTCGCCCTGGGCACTTGCAGCAAACTTACTGCGTGTCTCTTTTTAGGCTGGTGAGGCATGTTTTACGTATTTGGTCCCTGTCTGTAGACGCACCGCATGTCCAAAGACTCGGAAAATCCATCCTCGACGGATGACAGTGAACCATACGCAGCAAAAGACCATGTCAACATTGTTCCGGAAAATGTAATAGATACAAGTCACAAAGTACCTCTCCAGAACCACACAGAAGTACTGACTATAGCCTCCGAAGTTCCTCCTCCTCTTGCGGTGGCGTCCCCCCAAAAATCTTCTCAGACGCCGTGTCCTGTATCGTTAGCTCAAACACACCCCCTGATAAAAGTCCGTTCCGTCCACCGTCGTTCACTCATTCGCTTCATTCATATCGTCCATCCCTCGTTGTAACAATCATACATCAGAGACACCGGTGTCTCCTCCGACCAAACACCAACCTGGATGCCTTTCCACACATAGAATGTTAATGGATAACCAAACTCTCCTGGAGCTCACAGATGCCTGCCGGTTAGCATCTTGGCATGCATTGCATTGCTGAATATTGTATAGTTCTTGACTGGAACAAGCTTGCAGGGACTGATGCTCAATGGCCTACATCAATGCAAAGACCACGTAATGCCTTGTGCAGCCTTGCCTGAGGCTCAAAAACGCCTGGGGAATCAATGCATTGCTGCAAACACCAAAAAAATCCTTCGTTCCTGCCGAATCAATACCTTGGGGGGCTGTACCCGTACATCGGGGCGCGTGTGACAATATTTACTGGGCCGACGCCGTAAGGGGTATAAGAGTGAGGTGAGGGTGGTTTGATGCTCACGACGCGTGGCGGCGGAGATGATGGAGGGTAGGCGTAGGGTTCGGTTTTTGCTCCACGGTATCCATTGGATGCCCGAGAGCCGTATGAGCCACCATATCCCGAATCGTGGACATCATTATACTCGTACGCCGTGTAAGTGGTGAGCGCAGGAGTATGCTTTCGAGCCGATGAGCGGGAGCTGCGAAGACTGTCGAAACTGTCTTGACTGTCCTGTCTCCGTCGACGGTAGACGCTTCTGCTGCGTATTTCGACAGGAAGGCTTCTGCCCGATTCCTCGTGCCGATGACGTCTCTCATGGCTGTCCCCACGAGCGTAGTGAACATCATCATCCACCAAGTAGATCCGGGTATGCTGTCGACGAGAAGGATGATGGGTGGGGGATCCGAGACCAGAAGGAGGACTATCCGGCAGAGACTCCCGGATGCTTTGTAGATCTAGGTTTCGCTCTGCGTGCTCCTGCAACCAGGCATCGTCCGCCTTTTGCCTGGAATGGCTGTTCCATTCCTTTTCTCGCGCTGATGGAGGCGCCCACGGACTGATTCCGTCGCCAACTTCATCGTTGCCCGGCAGCTCGTCGATCGAAGCTTCATCATCTTCCCTCGAGTGTCTTCGCCTGTTGATTTCTTGTCTATATCTGCCTTGACCGTCTCGCCCCCGTGTTACTGCGCTGCCCGCTTCTTTGCAGGCTCGGCAGTCACCACTCTTGGGGTAATGATATCTCTCGAGACCTAGACAATGGGAAGAGTGGCACTTGGCGGTGGTCTTGTATTCGCATCCGCAACCGTACGAGGTCTTCGTACGCACACACATTGCTTGGAGGTGAGTGGAAAGCGGATTTCGAGGCTCGAGATGTTCCTTTGAATGGCCAAATGATATTTTCGTCCCTGTGTTGCGTGGCGTGGTGTAGGTCAAATCTTTATGCACCGATTGCCCAGGTCACAGAGGTGGTGCAAGCGTCTTGCTTCACAAAATCATGCACAGAAGGAAGGGCTCAGGTACGAAGAAAGCGGTGAGGCGTCTGTGCCAACGTCTAGAACAAGTGTACACTCAATGTACACTGCACTTGCGGGACTCAAAAGAAGCACAGAGGTCACACAAAGCAAGTCTCAATAGATGCTAGGCGTGACGTCGAAATACTTTCGAGACCCCGTCGGTTTTGTTATTCTCGCTGTTGCACTTCATGGGTGACAGATTCTGTCTCACGTCGGAGAAAGGAAGCGTGCATGAGATGAAAGAGGAAGAAATAGTTGTGACAAGAGTGATCAGAAATGGATCTGAGAGCTTTGTGTAAAAAAAAAAAAAAAAGTACGGCTGGTACTTGCGGTGTGAAGTAGTGGGAATGTGACAGGTAAAGAAAGAGGGCCTGTGGTGGGCAGAGTGGTGATATCCTCATGCCAGAATTGCGCGAAAAATGAGGGAGAGTCGAAGGCTGGAAGAGGCGGACTAGCTGGCCTTTCACAGGCAAGACTTCGGTCCAGCTGCATGATGCAGAATCCCTCTCCATCTCGCCTCAGATTCGAGCTGCAAAGGACGACGTATGCGAAGAAAACGCATGGCTCGAACAATGTTGTAGCTAGGAAGCCGGGCTCGAGCGGGCGGTCGAGGTGCATGCGACGGTGCTGAGTAGCAGTCCATCTTCGGCATTTTTGGATTGGTGCTTGGGCCAATGCAGGCACCTTGTGGAACGGGACTGCGGACCTCAACGCCCGAGGAAGCAGGGGAAACGAGCCAGTGTGAGAGATGGTCGGCTACAGGCCGTCGCTGACTGGCCGATGCGACGGTTCCTCGCCCTGTCACAGGTGGTTTCATCTCGGTGGCGCCCGCCCCAATTGCCTCAGTCGGCCGTCCTTGCGGTGCCCGTTCTAGCAAGTAGGTCAATCCGCCTTTTTTGCCTCGTTGATCCATTTTCCAGCCTGCAGGTCTCATTGCTTTCTGGCCTGCGCCCCACCGCCAACTGTAGCTGACATTGGGCGGAGGTGCTGATCTTGGGGCTGCGAATTGGGAGAGCGTGCAGACGGGGAAGCCCAGTTGCGAGAGTCCTCTCACAGTGGTCTGGCACCATGAGCTGCGCCGGCGCAGTCATCATTCGCAGTCTGTACCTCCACGTTGCACGGAGCCATTGGAGTGGGAAAAAAAATCGAGCAGAAATGCTGACCGTTGCCTTGAATTCTAGCCACTGATAGTTTGGGAATTTCCTCGCGCAGTCTGAATTGGTGATATTTCTGCCGCTCGTCAGGAGGAGATCGTTGGAAGAAGAGGATCTAGGCGTGGGGTGCTCATCGGCATCGACTTCTGACTGGAGATTCCGATGGACTGATGAAAGGACGCAAGTGGAGGTGAAGCGGCACGACCATTGGTTTCGAAGCCTTCATCCGCTGCCCAGCACCTCCTCTTTCCTGATGTTTTTCTCCCTCATCGCGTGGTCCAGAAAGGGCCTTCCACCAGTCAGTTTATAGACGCCCTCTTCTTGAGCTCTGGGGCCCTGCGCCGGGACCACTAGGCATGGCAGGAGACCTCAGCTGCGCACTCATTGCTCGACGACGGAGTAACAGCCCGCGGATGCATCGGCAAGGTTTGTCAGTGACCCGACTCTCTTCTGACCATCTAGCACTCATTGTGTGTTCGAAATATTTGCTGGTTGGGTGGCATCGAGGAAATACCAGCCTAGCTGCAGAGTTCCGAGGGACTGCTAGGTCAGATGAGTGCCATGCGGTGCATTTCTATCGAACTCATGTTCGTGGGAGAGAAGGAAATGAAACCCCTCAGGTTCATTGAGAAGATTTGTCGGTGAGGGTGTGTCGACCATGCATGGAATGGCCATGTCGCGTGCTCTGGACCTGGTGCGAGTTGACCGAGTTGGAAAGTCACAATGAATGGGGGAAAGCAAGCCTGGGCTTCTCTTTCGTTCTCGAATCGTCGATGGAGTGATGGATGTCACCCACAGATGTTTGACAACACTACCTTTGTCTTGTCTGCCCACTGTAACCCTCTGCGTTCTATGTACTCGGGAGATGATGATCTGTCTTCTACCCTCTACGTTTCTACATTTGCCACCCGACCTCTGCAACCAACTTTGTTCGGGGATTCAGAGCAACCAACCCTGATGTCAACAGAAGGTATATGTGGCAGTCAAAGAAGCAGGCGGTCTGTTGAATCGGTGAGTAACTTGCTATCCCATCGTCCTTTGCCTCCTGAGTTTTTGAGCGCTGGCCACGACACGTAGCGAGGTCAACACCATTCCAGTGCCCGAACTATCAGTGTTCCTTGAAATCCTTCAGCCTCACCAGTCTCGAAGACAACCTATGGTTAGGCCGTGGAGAAGAGAGAGAAAAAACATACAAAAGATTTCCGAGTATTTCCTCATATTCCACCAATGAGTCAATGACACAGAGCCATCCGGCACCCTTCCTAGCTCTTTTCTTTTCACCTATCTTTTGATTGGTAACATCTGGGCACTGGCCATCGGCGGCGCCGTCGATTCAAGTTATGACGCGTGGGTCGCTGAGTTTTCTGATGTTGGGCCTCTGACAATACTCATCGGCAAATGTAGAGAGATGTCAGGAACATGAGCGGATCCTCCAGCCTCGCCTCCACGCCCCAAGCGGCCCATTACCACTATCACCAGTCTTTCTCGGACGCCTGGCTCTCGATGAACTTGTTTCTCCCTTTCATCGAAACAGGACCCCAGAGACTAAGTGCCTTGGAATTGTCTCATGTCAACTGTCGTGGCGTTCGTCCGGCATCGATGGATAGCTAGCTGGTGCGAACGACTGTGTCCACATCTACCTTCAAGACTTCGATCTGTGGGCGAGTCTTTGCTGCCGTCGGGAGGGCGTCCTTGTACGGCACCAGAAGGACGCCACGACTCATCTGGTTAACAATGGGTAGGAGATTACAGAATCTTGGTTGCAGGCTCCCGCCGTGTTTCGGATGATGTTGAAAATATCGCCTACCTAGAAAGAGTTGATATCGCAAGCTGGAAACACAGGCAGACGAGTTGTAAGCGAACCTCCCTGTCCGAAAGAAGCCATGGTTACTGAGAAGCTTGTTTGCCCCGAATATTGAGCAGTCTGTCTTCGTCGCTACTCAGGGGATTTCCACCACTCTAGTAAATCGATTTCGCACCGACCACGAAATGAGCCACTGTCGGCAGATATTGATAAGAGTTTGGTGATAACCGTATAATTTGCGAGCAAGACGACACCAGGTTTTCCGACTGCTATCGATTGTGGAAGGAAGGCTGGCATATCGGCCCGGTTGGCAGCAGTCTATCACCTGGCCGGTGTCCATCAAGACTCATCCAAAAGCGAGGCGTTTAGCTTGAGCCTTCTGTTGCTCCACGCGGCTTATACCTGTCCTCTACAACCGAGAAGTCAAGCTCTGAGCCGTGACGCTGACATACATGGCCCCCTAAAAGGATGAATGGTGAGCCAGGAAGTGCTGGGCCTTTGCGCCGCTGTCAGTGATCAGTACCCAAGCCTGTTCTATCAGTCTATCAGTCTATCAGTCTGTCCGCCTTAGTGTCTCAGTTCGTAGATCCAATAATTCACAGTACGTCAATCCTCATCAATAGCCTGTCTTGCTCTAAAATCCATCACTAATCCCCTGGGACTTTTCATGCGTCAGTCTCTCGTCATTGATGCGATGCCACCACCTGTGTGTTTCGTCCTGAATGTCTTCAAGTTTCTCATCCCAGGGCTTTGGACTCAGGATGAAATGGACATTCTTCACCTGATCGTCGCGCCATATGGCATCATGGACTCCTTTCCACCTCAACGTCTTCAGAGCGTTGTAGACATACGGCAACCCAACCCAGCGACCATAGAACTGGTCGCCAAGTAAGCTCTGGTCGGCAAAGTCATAGCTCGAGGTCAAGTCGCCATTTTTCATCGCATTGAGGATTTTGTCATAAATGCCTTGGCTAGGATTGCACACAACTAGGCCGCCATTGGGGGACCCTATCCCCGCAGTGGGAGGGGGCCCATGAATCTGAGCATCGTCTGGGGTATTGTGTTGGGATGTGAACCCGCAGTTCTCTGGGATCCAATGCTTGGGATAGTGCGGTTTGTTTAGAGGATTACATGCACAAGCATGGCTTGCGGCGTACACCCTTTTTCCCTCGCCATTCATCCCAGGCGGATCCAGCTCCAGCTCCATCAGTTCATCCATATTCTTCAGAACCAGCATGTCACTGTCCAGTTGTACCAACCGATCATACTCGGTGAGGCTGAACGGGGTCAATTTGCTCCAGCAGTCGTAGAAACGGGGATCGTTGGCGTACTCTTTGGGGACGGACGGCAGGAGGTAAGGGATGTGTTTAGCCGGTATACCTCTCTTCTTGAGAGCTTGCAGGCCTTCGGGAGGAAATGTGTCAGTGTAAAGTGCGACCAGAGGATACCGCGAACCAGCTTTCTTCAAGGAGTACTCGAGAGTGAGGAGGCCCGAGAGGTACTTGGTGTTGGTAATGAGCGTGGTCCACACTTTCGTGGGTGCGCTTTCAACTGGGGATTTCTCCATAACAGCTGTGCCACCGGGTTCGTGAGATGGCCTGCTAGATATAGAGTCCGAGATCTAGGGATATCCAGATGGTAGCAACTGAACAAGGAGCCCAGTCATGGCGAAGGAGATCCAACATGGTGGCGATCTGCTGGCACTAGAACCGCGGGTCAAGTAGGGACAGCGACAGGCAAGCTTTTGATTAAGCCCACACCAAATTATTTTGTTCACTGATGGCCCTCGGGTGGTACAGATCCACAGCTTCGGCAGCGAGTCGGAGAGGCTAAATCATCCCCGATCATCATCATCATCTT